TATGGGTTGAGGGGGGCGGTAATTTTATTTTTATTTTGGTATTGGGTTTTGAAATTGAGGCCTCAAATTGTCAACATGGCTTTTTTTGTTCAAGGTGGCTACTACACCTCTGGTTTTTTTTTTTATTGTTGTTGTTCTTTTTTTTTATTGGTTAATTGAAGAGTCTCATGGACTTTGCTGCCAGGCTGGCTTCAGTATACAACCTCAGATCTCAGCCTTCTGAGTAGCTAAGATTACTATAGTGCCTGGCTTATTGTATATTTTTTAAAGTGCATGCTTCTGTTTTTACTCCTTTACTTTCTCTTTTAGTAAAACAAAGTCAAGAGGACCAAGGTTACTTTCTTCTTAGACCCTGTCAAAAAAGCACCCATAAAACCAGAACTTAATGTTTTTCTTCAAGGTTCTTTGTCATACTTCATATGTCTGGCCAGCCACTCAGGAGGCTGAGATCTGAGGGTCAAAGTTTAAAGCCACCCCCTGCAGAAAAGTTTTATTAGATTCTTATCTGTAACCAACCAGAAATGGAGATGTAGTCAAGTAATGGAGCACTACCAGCTTTGAGCAGAAAAAAGGCCAAGTTGAGAGTACAAGGTCCTGAGTTCAAGTCTCAGTACCAGAACTGAAAAAGAAAAATCTGTGTAATGCTGGGCGCTGGTGGCTCACGCCTGTAATCCTAGCTACTCAGGAGGCTGAGATCTGAGGATCTTGGTTTAAAGCCAGCCCGGGCAGGAAAAACTGTGAGACTCCTATCTCCAATAAACCACCAGAAAACCGGAAGTGGCGCTGTAGCTCAAGTGGTAGAGCACTCGCCTTGAGCTGAAGAGCTGAGGGACAGCGTCCAGGCCCAGAGTTCAGGCCCCACGACCAAAAAAAAAAAAAGAAAAAGAAAAGTCTGTGTAAGAGGGTGGAATAATGAGACATATGCCTGCTCTATGAATAACAAATTTGAGTCTCAATGTTGCATATCTGTCTCTTTGAATTGGGGAAGAAAACAGTTCAGTAATCTTCCTTGGGCCTCTAACTCTTAGGTTACTCCAAAAGATAATCTTCCAGGTACCTAATTAGGAAACAAGAAAATTATAGAAGTGTTTTATCCCCTAACCTTCCGGTTTCCCCTCCTTCCGGCCGGGGAAACCATAAACCTTAAAAGAATACATCTGAGCCCCCAAATAATATTCCTCTGGAAGAATATCCAACATATTCTCTGGTTGGGTGAATCTTAGATTCTCTCATATTTTTCAGTTTTCTTAGAGGTACTTATGGTGTCAGAGTCATGTTTAGTTTTTTGAAAATATCATCATCATGACCAAATGGAGAGTCTATGAATTATTTAACATTGGTAGCATGTACAGCACGTAAATACATGAATTAGACTAGGGTCAGAATTCAACGCTAAGATGTACAAGGTACCTAGGATTTTTTTTTTTTTTTTTGCGGTCGTGGGGCTTGAACTCTAGGCCTGGGCGCTGTCCCTCAGCTCTTCAGCTCAAGGCGAGCGCTCTACCACTTGAGCTACAGCGCCACTTCCAGTTTTCTGGTGGTTTATTGGAGATAGGAGTCTCACGGTCTCTCCTGCCCTGGCTGGCTTTGAACCTCGATCCTCAGATCTCAGCCTCCTGAGTAGCTAGGATTACAGGCGTGAGCCACCAGCGCCCGGCTGGATTTTTTTTTTTTTGAGACAGTTTTCTCTGTGTATCTGAAGCTGGCCTGCAACTCCCTGAGTAGCCCAGACGAGCCTCAAATTCTCTGTCTTCCATCCTTTGCCTCCTGAATGTTGAGATTGTAAATAGGTGCTTCTATGCCCAGCTCTAAAACCTATCTTTTAAGTGAATGTGAAGCTGGCAGAAATTCCTCTTATGGACTATATACCACCCAAAAGGTTGATAATCACATTTTTGAGTTGAAAGAAATTTCATCTAACCCAGAACTTCTTAAATCTAGAAAAGCTATATTACATGCCTGAAGCCACACATCTCATCTGAGTTAATGCCTGTCTGAATTTGGTCATACTGTATTGCCTGGTTCAGGTTTTCTTCATTGTTTTAATGTAAAAGTTACCTAACTCTTAATGAGATTTTTGTGTATTTCTACTATAATATTTTAGTCATTATGTGTGTGTGTGTGTGTGTGTGTGTGCATTTTGAACTCATTATAACTATTTTAAAATACTTTGAATTAATTCTTTTTTTTTCTATTTTGATTTGGTAGTATTGAGGCTTGAACACAGGACACTGCACATACTAGACAAGTAATCTATCGCTGAAATAATCTCAGCCATGGAATTTCTTTCTTTTTTTCCAGAGGAATTTTTGTGTTTTTACATAAACAGTATTTTTTTCTGCTCAAAATCACTCATTTGAGCCAGGCACTTGTGATTCCTACCTGTTGTAATCCTAGCTAATCAGGAAGCTGAGATCACAGGATCGTAGTTTAAAGCCAGCAGGGCAGGAGAAAGTCTGTGAGACTCTTATCTTTAGTTAAGCTGCAAAAGTCTTCAGCAGAAAGTCTTGAGCAAAAGAAACTCAAGAACAACACCCAGACCCTGAGTTCAAGATCCAGGCAAGACTGGCAAAAAAAAAATAATAATAAAACAAAAATATATTTACCTGTCATAAAAGAAAATATCCTAATTTTTTAATTAATTTATTCATTTATTTTGCCAGTCCTGGAACTTGAACTCAAGGCCTGGTTGTTCTTGAGTTTCTTTTGCTCAAGGCTAGCACTCTACCACTTGAGCCACAGTGGCACTTCTGGCTTTTTCTGTTTATCTGGTATTGGGGAGTTGAACCCAAGACTTCATGCATTCTAAGCAAGCACTCTACCACTAAGCTACATTCCTGCCCTACCCCCTTTTTTTTGTCGGTCGTGGGAGCTGAACTCTGGGCCTGAGTGCTGTCCCTTAGCTCTTTAGCTCAAGGCTAGCACCCTACCACTCAAGCTCAGCACCATTTCCTGCTTTTTCTCTACTTACGTGGTGCTAAGGAATCGAATCCAGGGCCTCATGCATGCGAAGCAAGTACTCATCACTGAGCCAACTTTTCAACCCCCATTCCTGGCCCTTACAATATAATTTGTTTTTTAACATTCCATTTGGTATACCACAATTTGTAACTAGACCTCAGATTTTGAGTATTTGTATTATTGATGGATTACATTATCTCACTAGCTACCTTTGTGCATAAGAGTTTTTTTGGATGAACGCCAGCTCTAGGGTTTGTACTTGGAGCTTTGTTCTTTCTAGGCTAGTACGTGCTTTTTGCTGGTTATTTTGGAGCAGATTTTCTTCCTTGCCCAGTTTCAAACCAGCATCCTCTAGACTTCAACCTCTTGAGTTAGCTGGGTATGATCCTCTGGTACTGGTTGTAAGACATTTTTAAGGATTTTTTTTCTAATACCTTTAGATAGAGTTTATACCTTTAGGTAGATTTCATAAATTGGTTAAAATTCTTTAACAGAAGCCAGGAATACCTTGGGTCCGGTCATGGGGCCTGAACTCTGGGCCTGGGTGCTGTCCTACCACTTGAGCCACAGTGCCACTTCCAGCTTTTTTCATTTTGTTTATGTGGTTCTAAGGAATCGAACCCAGGGCCTCAGGCATGCAAGGCAATCGCTCTACCACTGAGCCACCTTCCCAGCCCCACCTTTACAGTTCTTAAAAACATGTTGTTTTTCAAGCTAGGTGCTGGTGGCTCATGCCTGTAATCCTAGCTCCTCAGGAGGCTGATATATGAGGATCGTGGTTCAAAGCTGGCCTGGGCAGGAAAGTCTATAAGACTCTTACCTCCAATAAACCACTAGAAAACTGGAAGTGGTGCTGTGGCTTAAGTGGTAGAGCACTTCCCTTGAGCTGAAGAACACAGAGACAGAGCCCAAGCCTAGAGTTCAAGCCCCACAACCAACCAAAAAAAAAACAACAAAAAAAATGTTGCTTTCCAAGGGACATAAATGCAGACTAAGTCATGAATCTATACCAAATGTACCGTAACTTTGATAGCATGTTTTCTCATAGCATACCTGAATGACTTTGTATGGTTATATAGTTTGAACTAACTTTTTTAACCAATTTGTATAACATTTGTTATATCCTTAAGTCTCTTACACTTTTCTTTATGTAAAGAACAAAAGAAGCTTAATAATACTTAAAAAAATAGACTCTCAGTCTCCAATTCTTATTAGCCTTGAAATGTGCTGGTACCACTTACTGGAACGAGAACTTCAGAAAACCTCAAAGCCTTTCTGTGTTACTTCAACAACGTCTGGACCAGTGGATAACTGCATTTCTGCCTTTATTGCCTATATCTCAGAAACACAACATGATTGACACTCGAGTAAATACATAATTTGTTTTAAATACTGAAATTCCATATTCATATATATGTAAATATGTACCTTATTCTATTTTATATTTCTTTTTTTTTCAAAACACTACTTAGCCTAGCATGGTACAAAGCTCTATATTTAATTTCCAACACTGTAGAAAGAAAAGAAAAAGATAATATTGTCAGATAATTATTCATTTAATACTTTAATTTTGTTTTCTACCAAATTTATATATACCTATTTGTATATATGGTTTGTGTGTATATATTTTAAAACAAAACACCATATACCCAGCTACATTTAAGTTTTATTGTAGTTGTCTAAAAACTGATGTTTTGATAGCATTCTAGCATTCTTGACCCTAAGTGGCTTATGCTACCATATAATTATTTTTGCTGAACTTTGATTCCATTGAGTTATTGAGGTCATTTCCCTATCAAGTGATTTCTACTTTTAGTCTGATAAATATTTGTATTCCCTATTCCTTTTTCTCCAAAGCAGAAGCTAATTCTGTTTTCTCTTTTTCTTCAGTCATACAACTTTTGTTTTTCTAGTTGATCATCAGAAACTTTAGATATGTCAAATGAAATGGTGGAGTTTTGGGGGTTTTTTTGTTTCTTGTTTTGGCAGAGCTATTGCTGGGTGTTAATGTATATTTTACTTTTCTGTCCGTTGTTCAGATTGAGTCTGTTTCTCAGCCATTGGAAAGCCATGGTGCCCCTACTGGACATATTTCAGAGATGTCTACCAAATCATGTGGAACACTGAAACCTGTCAATGGGGTTGTTAACACGTAAGTTTTTTTCTTTTACTTCTTACACCTGGTAGACTGTTAAAAGGTGAGTTCAGACCTCTTAGTTATTTCCAGTCAGAATGACCACAGTTTAAAGCAACAGAAACCCTATTATGCATTAATATTTTCAATGTTCAGTATTATATCAACTATATTTTAATATGTTAATGTATTTCCTTTTGCTAACATCCCCTAAACGTGGGCATGGAGAAAAATAAAAGACCTACAATTATGCAGGATTATTATTATTAGTCCTAATCTTGGAGGAATCTCTCAAAAAAGTTCATATAAACTTTTATGTTCTAGAACAGGTTAGCTCCCAAAAGTCTGAATTGGCAAATCTGTACATAGGAAGATTCCTGAATATATAAAAGTTCCTATACTAGTGAACAAACAAATACTTCCTAGAATTCAAGATTCACAGAAGTACTGGTTTTTAATTAATTTATTTTACTATTTTTAAATTATTTTTGTGTGAGTCCCAGGGCTTGGGTTCAGGACTGGACTCTGTCCCAAAGCTGCTTTTGTTCAAGACTTGCACTCTGCCACTTGAGCCACAGTGCCACTTCTGGCTTTTTCTGTGTAGTTTGTTGGAGATAAGAATCTCACAGACTTTCCTGACTTTGAACCAGATCCTCCCAGTCTCAGCCTCCTGGTTAGCTAGGATTACAGGCATGAGCCACAAGCACCTGGCAGAAGAACTGATTTTAAGACATCAACATTTCCAAGTTTCATCATTTTCTAAAGTCGTCCTTGTCCTCCTCCTCCTCTGTCTGGTCCCCTACCCCTTTCCCTCATCCATCTTCTCCCTATTTCCCCACACCTACCCCCTATCTCAGAGCTTGAACTCAGGGCCTGGGCTCTGTCCTTGAGCTTTTCTGTACTCAAATCTAGAGCTCTACCACTTGAACCACATACCAATTCAAGCCTTTTCTGTTTATGTGGTACTGAGGAATCAAACCCAGGGCTTCGTGCATGCTAGGCAAGCACTCTGCCACTAAGCCACATTCTCAGCCCCTCTGTACTTTCTTTAATCCTATTTCTGTTGCATAACAATGCTTAATCACTAAAACTTAAAAACTAAGGCTAAGTTTACTTACTGGGTTTTGTATCAAGAACTTTATTAATAAGCATAGACCTAGCACATATACCTAGATACATTCTGCTGCTGAAGTGACATCTTTCTGTGGTAGAAAATACTTATTTATACCTGTTTATATTTGGAAGATGAGGAGGTTAAACCAGTGTTAGAAGCTTTGTTTTCTAAAAAATGAATTGTTTTTCTTCCCCTGTGTAGTCTTCAGCCTGTCCTGGCAGACCATGTTTCATGTGACAGTTATGATGCTGAGGAACAATTACATAAAAAACAACGACTGAATCTAGTGTCTTCATCATCTGATGGTACCTGTATGGCAGCCCGAACACGTCCTGTACTGAGCTGTAAGAAAAGGAGGCTTGTTAGGCCCAACAGCATTGTTCCTCTTTCCAGAAAGGTCAGTACTAATGAGGTTTGATCGTTGTCTGAACAGTGAGCCCAGGTGCTCCAATAGAGGGTAACTACCAGAGAGACTGAAAGTTTAAAAGTTAACATAAATAAACACTTTGAAGCATGTCTTTACTCATCTGTGCTATTTTAACTGAACATGGCAGTGTAAAATCCTTTTGCCTTAAAAGGATAATTCCAGCACTTAGGACACTTAAGCCAGAAAGATCATGAGTTTGAGGCCAGATTGGGCATCATAGTATGATCCTATTCCAAAAGACCAAAAATATAAAAAGACTACAGATTACTTTTTGGGGGGGGTGGGGGTGCTGGGGTTTCAACACAGGGTCTCATGCTTGCTCTGCTGGTGTTTTACCTATTGAGCCATACATACATGCCTCCAGCCATAATTTTTGCTAGTTAATTTGGGGGACAATCTAGCACCTTTTCTCTAGGCTGTGCTTAAACTTATATCCTCCAGATCTCAACCTTCTGAGTAGCTGGGATTATAAGCATAAGCCACCAGTACCCCCCTCTATTACAGTTTCTAAATTGTCTTTACATGGATATTGATTCATAATTGCAGGGAACTTAAGTAGAAGAATTGGTTTTATTTCTAAGCTAACAAATAATATTCCAGTTAAATTAATATCCTGACGTTACAAGTATTAATTCTAAAGTTGGTGAATTTTGAATCATGACACTGCTAGTTAATAATTTAGAATGTGTTAATCACTCCCACCTCTACTACTTCCCAAAGACCAGAGCTCTTACATTGTTGAAAATCAAATGAGGCCAAGCACCGGTGGCTCACGCCTGTAATTCTAAATACTCAGTAGGAGACGGAGATCTGAATATTGAGGTTGAAAGCCAGCTCAGGCAAGAAAGTCCATGAGACTTTATCTCCAGTTAACCACCAGAAAACTGGAAGTGGCACTGTGGCTCAAGTGATAGATTGCTTACCTTGAACTGAAGAGCTGAGGGACAGTGCCCAGGACCAGACTTCAAGCCCCATGAAAAAGGAAAGAAAATTAAATGAGATAGGTTTTATACCTTTATTTAGGTTTTTGGCTGGTAATTTTCTAGTATATATTTGCTGTAACTTTATCACTTTTGTTTTTATCTCCTTCAACAAATATTTATTGAGCTCATCTACTGAGCTAAGTAAATCTCATCTAGGTACTGGGAATACAACACTAAACAGCAGACAAAAATCCTTTTGTGAAGTATTCTAATTTATAGAAACAAATCAGCAAATAAATGAACTATATGTGATGTTTGGTTCATGCAGCCATAGGGAATAGAGTATGCTGGGGGTTGAGATAAAGAAGTAGTTGGACAATGAGATGTACAGGTCGTTATGTTGAAAAACGAACTTTACAACTTTGTGGGCGGGGATACGAAGGGATGGGAAGGGGAAACAAAGCAGGAGGCTACAATGCTTGATAAGAAATGTGCTCATTATCTTACCCGTGTATTGTAACCCCTCTGTACAGTATTTTCACAATAAAAATATATATTTTTTTTAAAAAAAGAAAGTAGTTGGAACATTAAAGTTGGATCCTCCAAATTTAAGCCTTTATATTCTAAGGCTTAGAGGTGTGGAAGATGAGGAAAGGTCTGGAAAAGTGTGGTGTATGAAAAAGAGATAAAGGAGTTTCTGGGAGGAAAGGGGATTAATTGTTTATGTTGGATGCTGAAGACAGATCAAATAAGATGAAGACTGACAGGCCACCATTGTTGGAGACTACAGTGAGTGCTTTTGGTAGACAGGAAAGGGGGAAAACCTAGTGGACTGGGTTCAAGAAAGAATGAGACAGGATGAATTGAGGAAACCATTGTAGAAAAGTGTTTCCAAAAACTTGCTGTGAACATACTAGCTGTTGCCACGTAAGGGGAGTGAAGAGGCATTTATTGAAATCAGTAATATTTGGACAATGAGTTCTCATGACTGGCTTGCTTGGTTCTAGTATATAACTGTACTGTAAACTTTTCCATGAGCTTCTTAAAAGGCAGTGAAATTGTGAGAATAAAGTGCTTATCCTAACCTTTCCTAGACTTTATAGACTTTACCTGAAATACTAAAATACCAGAAATAGGGCAGGGGAGAGTGGGAAGGCTTTTTTTTTGTTTCCATGCCCTTAGTCCTTCATAAGCTTTAGTTATGTTTTTAGACAGGAACTCAGGCTTTTGCCTGGGCCTGGCACAAACCACATTCCTCTTACCTGTGCCTACCACATAGCTTGGATAACAGGTTTACACTGTCATGCCTAACCAGGAAATGTACTTCTTGTATGTTTGTGTGTGCTGGGTGTTGCCTCTGAGCTGCTTTTGCTCAAGGCTAGAGTCAACCATTTGAGCCACAGTTCCACTTCTGACATTTTGGTAGTTTATTGGAAATCAGAATCTTACGGACTTCCCTGTCTTCCTGGCTTTGAACCTCAATCCTCAGATATTAGCCTCCTGAGAGCTAGGATTACAGGTGTGAGCCAGGATCATCCTTAACCTATGTAAAAGGTAAACTGCATGAAAAATAAGACAAATAAATTGACTGGGCAATAAACATTTACTAGATTGAGCAGAAATTAACTTCTGGGGGTCTTTCACTGTTACAGACAAGCATTGTTCCCTCATGGTTGCTCACTGTCACATGGCCCCTAGCTTTTCACATACTCTGGTGTCTGTTAATGAATAAACATCTTAACCTCATTTTGAGGTGTTGGAATTTGCTGTAAAATTTTATTTGAATAAAGTTATTTTATAAATTACAGAAATCATAGTGCAATTGTCTCCCTCCTCCTCCCCCCGCCCTTTTTTTTGGTGCTGGTCCTGGAGCTTTCCTGCTCAGGCAGGCAAATCCTACCTTACAGATATGAGCCACAGACACCTGGCTTACAATACTATTTCTTTATTTTTTGGGTCCAGTCGTGGGGCTTGAACTCTGGGCCTGGGTGCTGTCCCTCAGCTCTTCAGCTCAAGGCTAGCGCTCTACCACTTGAGCCACAGTGCCACTTCCGGCTTTTTTCTTTTTGCTTATGTGGTGCTGAGGAATCGAACTCAGGGCCTCATGCATGCAAGGCTAAAAGCGCTCTACCACTGAGTCACCTTCCCAGCCCTACAATACTATTTCTAAGAGAAGCATTATACAAGCATGCATAAAGCTCTAGGTTCAAGCCTCAGTATCACCAAAAGAAAAAAGAAGGCTAGGCATTGGTGGTTCATTCTTACCAGTAATCCTAGCTATCTAGGAGGCTGAGATCTGAGGATTGGGATTCAAAGCCAGCTCGGCAGGAAAGTCAATGTGACACATCTCCAATTAACCACCTAAAAACTGAAAGTGGAGCTGTGGCTCAAAATCAGAGAGCACTAGCCTTGAGAAAAAAGCTCAGGGACACTGCCTAGGCCCTGAGTTCAAGCCCCACAACCAACAAAATTAAAAATAAAAAGGAGGAAAATAGATTTTATTAGTAATTTACTACAATCCCCCCCCCTTTGTTTGTCCAAGACTGGAACTCAAACTCTGTATTTCTTTTGCTCATTGGCTGGCACTCCCACCAGAGCCATGTGTCCAACTCCACAGCTAGATTCCCAATCTCAATTTTTCTTTTTTCTTTTTTTTTTCAATTTTTCTTTAGACAGAAACTTGCATATATAGTCTGTCATTGGGAGCCATTGGTGTTTGCAAACAAGTTGGTAAAAAAGCTACTTTTTGTCTAGTAGAAAAAATAATGCCAATGCTTATTACTAATAAACTCTCAGAAGCATTGGGGTTGTCCTTAATGGTATTTCTTAAATTTTTTGAAGTAGGATTTCTTGACATTGTTTTTTAGTGTTCTAGCATAAGTTTAGTATTTTGCACTCTGTTAGAGTGTAGTTGTATCACAGAAGAATTGCTCTGGGTTGGTTAGCTTCTGTGAAAGCTTAAATTTTCTCTTCAATAATCCTGTCAGCAGTTTTTCTATTTTATGTTTATTTCTTACAATATAATAAGAGGATTTACTTTTGAATTTTTTTCAAGTTTAATTTATAATGGCAATCCCTAGGCTTTGATGTGTGAAATATTCTATTGCTATTAATTTGTAAGTTGCTTTTAAGTTTTTTAGTTCTTTCCCAAAGAATTGGCCATTGAGTCTTAAGTATTTTCATCAAAGTGATAATTCTGTAGTTACTGTGTTACTGGTCATTATGTTGACACTTCGAATTTTTCATTTGTATCTACTAGAATATAATTTTTATATAATCATATCCTCCTAGTGATTTGTAGTACAGTCACAATAACTTTAAATTCTTCAATTTTGGATAATTTTTAGATATATATGTACATTTGAGGGAAGAGGAGTCTTACCCATTTACTTTCAGCATTTTGTTTTTCATATGTTCCATGAAAGACAAAATAAAAGTAGATTTTTACTTGTTTTCTCCTAAAAGTCTTCTTTGCAGAATTTATTAAATAGATAGTAGTTTTAAAATTTTTATTATTTTGAAAGCAGATATGTATTATTTAGACTTATTGTCATTAACTAGTTGAAAGTTCACTTGCTGTCCTTTCATATTTCATTTATTTGAGGTTTTTTTCCCTTGCAGTTCTGTGTTTAAGTACTTCACACTTGCTAGAAGGCATCCTACTGTTGAGCCATACCCTCAGCTCCTCCAAGTTATTTTTTTTAAGTTCATATTTATTTATGTCAACCAGCACTTTTCCCACTGTTGTTCAGGTGATCCTTTGTGCACTACTCAATTCTTCTTAGTTAATTTACTTTTTGTTCCAACAGTGGTCAATCTTCATATATTAAAGTTGCACAGAATTACGCTTTTCAAATATATACTTGTATGTAGTTAGTGTATTTACACATTTCTATATTGTCAATTTTCAGCACTTTGAAAGATAATGTTTTGTTGCCTTCTAGAATCTGCTGAAAATTCTGGTGTTTTTCATTCTTCTATAAGTGTGTGTGTGTGTGTGTGTGTGTGTGTGTGTGTGCGCACGCGCGTGCACATGTATGCGTGCGT